TTCTTGCATGATTTTTGCCAAAACCAATTGATCCCCTCTCTTATTGGATTGATTGGTACAAGGGTTTCAAGGTTCGATTAATCCCCTACCCTGTATGGATTGATTGGTTTTTTAAATAGAAGCAAAATTTGTTTCAAAAGAATGAAAATGGAGGGATCGATTGGTACAAGGGTTTCAAGGTCCGATCAATCCCTTACCTTGTATGGATTGATTGGTTTTTAAATAGAAGCAAAATTTGTTTCAAAAGAATGAAAATGGGTGGATCACGCAACCTAGGGGATCGATCTTCTTGCATACAAGATCGATTAGGTATCCTTGCAGGATAGATCGGGTAGTGTTTTCCACGCATATGCATGAGCCAATCGATCCCTTCTGATATAGGATTGATTGGTTTTGCCCAGACAAGCCTAAATGGTCACATTTTTTGAAAGTTTTGTAGATATTCAAAGGGGGTAACGGCTAGCTCTTCATTTCCTCTTATAAATACAAGCCTTATACATAAGAGAACTAGAGAGAAGAGCCAACAAAGATCAAAAGATATTCATTGTTCATATTCTTCAATAAAAGAGCATATTTCCAAGTGAAAGAGCTAAAATTCCTTCTTGTATTCATTTCCTCTTGTGTCCACTCAAATCATTCATTTGTACTTAAAATAGCAAACACCTAATCTTAGAGAGGTCTTTGAGTTTGCAAAAGCATTCTTGCTTTGTATTGTGAGCTTGTGAGCTTAAGGGGGAGGTTAACCCTTAAGATACTTGTTTGTCTTGTAAGCTTAAGGTGGAGGATATCCCTTAAGAGGTTGTGTTGATTATATCAAGCCTTAGAAGAAGCTAGGCTGTAACATTTAACATTTTGATAGTGGATTCAACTCTCCGGCAAGTGAGGCTAAGGGAGAGGACATAGGTGCCTAGAGGAAGGGTCGAACCTCTATAAATCCTGGTGTTTAATTCTTCAACTCTACCTCTTTACATTTCATGCTATCATTATTGTGCTTATATTTTGTGTTTATTAGCTTTGAAATTGATATTTTTGATTATTGTGTTAAATGGCATTAAAATTGTTAAAATTTATAATTAACCAATTCACCTCTCCTCTTAGTTTGTTTATTCAAGTCTTTGAGCTAACACAAATCATAAAACCAATCAAAAAAGAAATTACTCACTCGATAATTTGTTGAATTCCTATGAGTGATGACATTGAGGCAAGAAGCAATTTGTACAACCAAAAATCTAGACCCTCCAAAAAAAGAGTTGGAGTCAGTGAAACAGTGGTCAGAGTTAGTGAAATGGCGGCAGAGGAGGGGCTGAAGCTTTTTGGGTAGGGGGAAAAAGAGAAAATAATAGAGAAAGAAGGAGCAGCAGGTAAGGAGGAGGAGAAGAAAAGAAAATGGAACTAAGGGTTGTGAAATCCCAAAAATGCTAGCGGAAGGGATTGCAAGTGTTGAGATTTAAACTCCAAACTAATTGGATGCTAGCTCTTAAAGATGGCTACATTAACCAACCAAGCTAAGTCCGAGTTTTTCTTTTACTTGTCTTATTTATTCCTGTTTTCCCTATTTTACCTTTCATTCATTCATTCATTTTTTCTTATTTTACTTTCATATGCTTATTTTCTTTATTTGTCTTTCGGTGTTCTTATTTTTTTAAAATTGCTGTGTTGTCATGTCTGTGCCGTATTTTATTCCGTGCTTCATAGCTGCCACATGACTTCAGTTTCTCTGAAGAATATAGTTGTTCTTGCTCTGGGACTGATTGCGCATTCTGTTGATTGCAGTCCATATACAAGGATTGACATGTTATGAAACTGAATTTCCTTTGTGTAATATTCTCTTGGCTAGGGCAATGAGATCTAGTGTCTATAGTTTTTGTCATGATAAACCATTGGCGGTGCTGTTTTTTTGGGTTTTGTTTTTTCTTGTCTGCAGTTTGGCTATCTTAGCATAGGAGCAAAGTCATTGGTAGAATGTACAAAATATTAGTTCGTCATTCGTCTGTTATAAACCAAGGTCACTTACTTTGAAATGTAACTAAACCAAAACTCAAGCAGAAAAGCTTGTGGCTCCCCTTGTTGTATGATTGGTATCCAGATTTTAAAGTTGGTTTGCAAGCTTGTTTGGATTATTCTTCTCTATTGCAATATTGAATTTCGATGCGTTTCTGAATATATACTTTTAATTCTAGATTCTTAAATTAATTTGCGTTAGTCCTATGAAGTGACTTAATGACTTAAACCTTGGTTTAGTTGAATGATTTTTGTTTTGGTTTGTGCAAAATATTGTCAGCGCACAAGATGTTGTAACTTGTAGCAAGGCAGCTCTTGATGTATTTTTTTTTAAGGCAATATATTATTATCATTATTATTAGTTTTTTGAAAGGTGGTAATATATATTATTTTATCAATATGATATTTTATAGTGCTGTTTTTGGTGAAGGTTTGTTTATGTAAAGCTTGCTTTTGTCACAGGCAGGGCTTTAATAGGGGTGCTGTGATGGAATTTACAGGCAGAGTTTTTGCAACTATGGCTTTAGAGCAGGTTCTTGAATATATCTCTATTTTGTGCGGCTGCAAACAAGTTACTGTAAAATTGACTTAGGTGGTAGTGACAGCATGAATGAATGAAAATTTATCCTATTGTAGTCAATTAAGTTAGATCCTATTAATTAACTGAGATCAATGGATTGATTATAAATTGTTAGTTGATTTATTTATATTTTAGGAATCGATATCGGTTTTGAGGTTACATTTTTGTTTTTATCAATGAACTTGATTCGGAGATTGAATATGAGGAACTAAAGTTCCAGATTTCGGCTTGGATAATATCAGCTTTACTTTGCTTTTCATATTATATTTCGATTGACTTACAGATTAAAGAATATATTTTGAGTATATTTCATTATTTTATTTTAATAACAAGGAGTTTATTTAATTTTATGAATAATATATATGTTTCGTGTTGTTATGCATGTATATAATTTAATTTAACAATTCAAGGATGGAGACCTTTTGACTTTTGAGAGAAGGTAGATTTTGTGAATTTGAATTAATTGATTATACTTTTTATTTATCATATTAGAAAATTATTATTTGATTATATATTTTTGAAAAATTTTAAATTTCGAGATCAATCTTAGTCTCCGACCGACCTTGCAAGAGTTGTCCACGATTCTAAGCGGTGATGGATTGATCCACGATTCATAATTTTCAAAACCAATCCTGTATAGACGGTTTGCGATCTTAGCTTTAGCATCACCCACTCGAACCATACACACACCCTTATTCTTTAGGGTTCTTTTTCCAATATATGCAACCAAACACTCTAGTTCCATTTTCATCCTTTTACATCAAATCGCTTTTATCTTTTTTTTTTAATTATTATTATTTGCATTTAAAATTATCAAAAACTTTGATAGGTTTTTGGATGAAATTAAAAATACAAGCTACAATCATAATTAAATAGTACATTCACATAAAAAAATTATTAAATAATCAAACATATAAATCAATCGACAAACTAAATATAATTTAATAAATTTAACAGAAAATTAAATCAAATTCACATATAATAAGTTTTAAATTTAAAACTTTAAAATGTTAGAAACTTCGTCCGTACCATTAAATCAAGATATCATTGGCCAACCTTGACAATTAAAATTAAAAAGCAGACAGTCCTACCAACAAACCACTATTAATACTTCCAATTTTTTTTGTAGTTGGTATTGTTTTCTCATCCTTTTTCCCGTCAATTGTGAGGAGAATTATTGCCAACATCAGTCGAATCAAAAAAAAAAAAAGAGGTTTAAACCCAATATATTAAGAAAAAGCACACAATATAAGCAAACAAAATAATTAAGGCAAAAAAAAAAAGGGTTTAGCGGGATTTAATGATGGAGTCTAGAACTGGTCTTTAGTCACAATTCACAAACTTTTCCTTCATGACATCCATAAATCAAAAAGAAAACTGGTGTTTGATTTTTGGAAAGTATAAGAAAAAAAAATCTGATTAGAGAAGAGAGTTGAAAAAGAGAGTAATGATACCTTTGTTCAATTAAACACTTTTCACGAGTATTTATTTCTTTTGAAAAAAAAACCATCAAATTTTAATCATGAAATTATTTCTTAAAAACACATCTTTTTCAACAATATACTCATTGTGGGTGGACAACTTCTTAATTTTTTTTAAATTTTTTAATCATTGAGGTGGGAACCAGGGATGGATTTACCTATAGATTTGTTGGGGGCTGTTGTCCCCACTGAAATACTAAAATGCTTTAGATTTTTTATGAAAAAATCTCGTAAATTTTAGAATTTCAAACTTTGCCTCCATTAAAATTTTTTTATCATATTTGTTTTCATTAAATTGAGGATCATGAAAGAAAATTTTTCATTGTTTATCTAATAATTGAACATTTATTCTCTTAGGTGATAAGTAATTTCATTGTAATATATACATTAATTTTGAAGAAAAACTAATAAAAAATTTTTACAATTCATATAGATAACATATAAAGTGTGAATTAATAAAAACAAAAAAAATAAAAAACGGTCTTTAACTGACAAAGATTTGTATCTTCATTCTTGTTTTTATTGTATACAACAAAATATTATTTTCATTGTATATAAAAAAAATAAGTATTTATTATTCTTCACATTATAATGAATAAAAAATTAAAGTAAATCATTCTCATATTATATCTATATTTAAAAATTTTATAAGTAAAATTTTATTAAATAAATATATATATTTATATGTGTTTGTGTATGTAGGAACACGTGTCAAAAAATAATTTTTTTATGATATAATAATGTTTAGGTTATGCTCCATGTAGTTAAATTTGGTTATCCAAAAATTGTATTTTATTAAAAAAATTATTATACATGTTAATTTGTTTAGAATTTTTTATATTAATTTGTCTTTCAATGAAAATTTTAATGAAATGAGAGAAAAATACATGCTCCCACATATTAAAAGTCATGGATCCGTCTCTGGTGGGAACATATAATTTATTGAGAGTGAGATTTATACAAAGAACTTTTATTTTTTTTATTAAATTATTATCTCCAAATACATTACAATAGTCCAAAGCAGAAAGGTGGAATGTAGAGCGAATCCAAATACAGTAACTACATGCATCTATATATATATTGAATGAATGAGAACGGAATGACTGATTTCTGACGTTCAGAAATTTAAAAATAAAACATGTCTTAAGACAAGAAAGATACTGTCGGATCTTGTGGCTAAATCCTTGTAACCAAAAGAAAGACAGCTAGATTACGATTTCAACACCCCTCGGCTTGAAGTTGAACGCTTCTTAGGATATATAGACTATGTTTGAAGATGTATAAGTTTATTAAATAAAGGTGAAACTGAAAGTCTAATGCAAAAATGAAAAACTAATGGCTCATATCGGATTCTTCGCTAATAATGGAAGCCAGCCTAGTGACGTTTAAGGCGAATGGGAAGGCCTTTTTCTGGTGTTGGCATCATATCTCCAATAATCTTTTCATTTGGATGGATCAATTCCCACTTGAACCTTTTCACTACGTTGTGCACGAATGTGAGTATAGCCAGTCGAGCATACTCTTTTCCAGGGCACATTCGAGGTCCACCTCCAAATGGAACAAACGTAAATGGAGGAAAAGTATTTCCATCATCATATCTTGAAGGGTCAAATTTGTCCGGTTCTGGAAAGTATTCAGGGTTCTTGTTTGTTGTGCTAACCGTCCAATATATCTGCAGATATTTAAGAGTGAAGGTTAGGTAGATTTATATGGCCATTAGCTGACTCAGTCAACATTTAAATTGAGTTAGACCAACACATACCTTCCACCCCTTTGGAATAGTGTGACCAGCATAACTAAAATCTGTGAGCGCCTCCCTGAAGGTTCCCTGAAGTGGAGGTGTCAATCTCATCACTTCATACAGTACATTCCAGGAGTACTTCATCTTCTGTATGTCATCCCAGTCCAAAAATTCCCCTGGCTTTTTGCCAGCCTCAACTTCTGATTGCTCTGGGCTCAAAAATTCAATAACGACTGTTCATTTACAAGAGCTACCACTTCATTTTTAATGCGAGTAATATAGGGATGAAAGTTGTTTACCTGCTAGAATTTTAGCATAGATGTCAGGTCTCTCTCCAACGTACTTCATGAAGAAAGTCATAGCAGTAGCCACAGTGCTGTATCCTGCAACCAGCAATCCCATAATTTTATCAGCAATCTCAGCCTCAGGCATGTATTTTCCAGACGGGTCACTGGCCACAATCATATGACTAAGTATGTCCTGCATAGGCGCTCCTGTTGCCATGGCAGCTTTCTTCTCCTTTATAACTTCTCTTAGCTCCTTCCGGATTGCAGCTGCCGCCCTGTTTGCTCTGTAAAAAATTGTCCCTGGAAAATTTACAGGAATAGAATGCATCCCCAAGGTAATATCATCGAAGTTGCTAACGAGCCTAGAGATACGCTCAGGATCATCTGTGCCCAAGAAGAAACGACATGCGAGAGTCAAGGTCAGGGTCTTAGCAAGAAGGAAGGCCTTCACTTCATCTTTGCCTTCCCAATATTTCTGCATCTGTTGCTGGGTGATAGAGTCCATTTTCCCCAAATACCTCACCAGTGCTTCAGGCTTCAGGAATCCTGGAGAACGCAAAATTTTGGCCTCAGCATCCCGGGCAATTTGAACTGGCGCAGCAGCCTGGTAAGAGCGGAACAGTTTTTGCATTGAATGAGGTCGGAAAGCTGTGAAGAGCTTTTGCTCATTGGAGAAAAGAAACTTGTGTCCATCAGGCCCACATATAACTGCAGTTTCCTCCCCAAGAATCTTTGTTTTGAAAATATCAGGAGAGTACTTTTTCATCCTATCGAACACAAACTTCTCCGGCTTCCCAAACAGGAACTCAACAGTTTCACCCATGATAGGCCATCCCAAGCTCCCTGGGGGAAGGTCTTTGGCACCACCTGATCTCGGTCTGAGTGCAAAGATGGCAACAATTGTCAGAATAATAGGAGCAAAAAGTAAAACAACTAGAGAGAGCTCCATGGTGGTTGCTTAATTGTATTTGAGATGAGCAAGGATAAATGAATGTTATTTAGAAGTGAAATGTGCCGAATTTATATAGCCTGAAATGAATGATAGCCCTATCCTAGTGGCGAGTTAGACATAAGATGATATAAACATGTTCTTTATTTTATTCTTTGTGTTGAGTTAGTATCGTGATTGAGACGTTGCAAGTCGTCAACATTGACCAAACTGCTGATTCCTAACCGGATTCCTAGCTCATGGATTTAAATAGCGTCGGCGGTGCGGTTGTTATTTAATAATAACCTTTTGTTATTGTTATTTGTCTTAATAGAAGTGTGAATCGTTATTCACACAAATATTAGTATGTTACATTCACAAATAATGATACAATAAAAAATTGGGATCAAGATACTAAAATTTTTATTTGTATTTTTCTTTAATATATTTCTGAATTTTATAGTATATTGATTTTGAGTTATACTAAAATTATGTTAAAAAATTATTTTAATCTATAAATATAAGATTAAAATATTATAAATTATTTTAAATATCATAAATAAATATTATTATATCAAATTATTTTATAATAAATTATAAAAATTTTAAAAAAATTTACGATCATGATGAATAAAACTATTATTATCTTATCCATTATGTTCATAATTATGCTAAATATATGATCAAAACTATGATTGCGACCATATTTTATATCTCTAACCTAGCTAGCTCATCATACACTTCATTCAATTTAAGGCATGCATCTCTAGTTCCCACTAAACCCACCTTTTAACCTTCTTTTTTATTTGGAGATAAATAAAGTTCTAAACACACAAGTAATTTGATCAATAATTATTTAAATAAAGTAACAAAATATATTAACATTTATACTTTATTTATGCAACAAGGTTTTTCGATCTTCAAATTAATTTTCACTTAATAATTTTTAATAAAAAAATTTCACCAAGGTCAAGAAAACTTATTAAAATTATCATTTCTTAACCATTATTTTTGACTTCATTGTAAAGGTACAGCTTCATATCTCATCATCAGCTGCATTTAAAGCAATTGTGCTCGAAGCATATGTGTAGGTGCTAAAATTTGACCTACTCAAAAAAGCCATTTGATTCGTATTGGACCAAATTTGATTAAGATTGATTAAAAATGTCAAAGACCATGATTGAAAAACATCATTTGATTCATATTGAACCTAACCTTGAACCAGTTCAAACTCGAAATGATTTGCATTTAAAACAATTTGAAATGACAAAATTTTAAAATTAAGACCAATTCAATCAATTAGTAAAAAATTGAATTTAAATTCAAGTACATCCTAATTAATTGGTCCAGTCAAACAAAATAACATTTAAACTTAGTAGACCCAAATTAATTAGTCTGAAATAAAATAAATAAATAAATGATCTAAATCCAAAATAATACGAACACAAGACATCTTAAATCTATAATAATCTAATTTGATACAATTCAAATTTTAAATAATATAAATTAAAAATTATATAAACTCAAGATGATTTTGTTAAGCATCTAGTTTAAAATCAATTGATAATAAATAAAAGAATCCAATCTGAATATAAAATTACAATAAATTAAATATTTATTAGATATGAAATAACATCACATTAACAAGATCTTATCACATGTAGATGGAAATGAAAAAAACTTATTAGGTGATGAATTTAGAAAGGGCAACAGTAAAAAATCTTGATCTGGTACCATGTTAAACAGATTTGGATATCATCACTGTATTTTTAGTTTCATGCCTAACAGATTTGAAATCAAAATGAATGTCAACCCGTAATCAGACCGAAATCCTTCCAATTGTGACCTCTAAACTCATAAACTTACTCTTTGTTTCAATGATAAAGAGCATCCAAATGCCTCTCATTTCCACATACATTTCACTTTTGGTAGCAATCTTTTGTTGAATTCAACATTATGCATAAGGTCGAGGTATCTTTTTTCTTACTGGGTTGAAAATATAGCAATAATATATGCAGAAAAATTGTGGGAAAACAAAAATCTAATGACGGTCTTTATCAGATACCATTTCTTAATTTGACTGAAAACTTCAAATCATTCATTTCATATGCCCCATTTATCATAAAATGTAACATTGCTAATTTTGGCACATACCGGTTCTTGGCATTTGTCATTCTTTCCCATTTACATGCTTAGTACGTTAAGGACTTAGAGAATGTGAACAAGTTTTAACAAGACCGAAAATCAGAGATGTTACTTGTCTGGCACCTGAGAATATAATCAACATAGAGATTACTAATTTTTGGGTTAATGTTATGAATCACCCTAAAATAGAATGAAATATTCAATGTATGTAATATTTGAATTTTAAAATTTGTAATATGATATTAAAATTATGAATCTGTTAATTAATATGATATTTACTCTAATATGATTAGTTTCAAATAATGACATTGTAAAATAACTTTTCAAATATTACATTAGTTTATAAATTTATATAATTCAAATGCCATATTAACAAATTTTAAAATTTATATAGATTTTTAAAATTCAAATATCATATTGAATATTTTATTATAATTTAAGAATTATTCATAACATTAACTCTTACTTTTTATTATTGGTTTTATTGACGAGTGCTTTTAAAATATTTTTTAAAACTATTATATAAAATATATACGGATTTGACTCTTGTATTACCTTAGTTGCTAATTAATGAAATTTTAAACATTGGTTCAGCAAAAAACTACTATTAAATTTAATAAATAATATTATTATAATAAAATATCAATCAACCTTAAAAAGGTTTTTTTTTTTTTTAAGTATTTATCATTAGTAAAATCCTTTTATTGTTATTATGTTTAATTGTAAACCTCAATGAAACCATTGATCATTGTTTGTTTTCAAGCCAAACGACTTTGTTCTATAGTTATTAACTGTAATTATAGTAAGCACTTGAAATACGTACAAATTAAACATTGATGATCACAAATTTTATTTTGTAATAGATTCCTGGATTGCAACCACAAAAATAATTATAAAATGATTTTCTTATAAACTTACATGTACAAAATAAATTAAAATCATGATAAGTATTACATATATTTATAAAAAATTATTAAATAATCAACCAATAAATTATAATATAACTAATCAAATTTAATATAAAATTAAACCAAATTCATATACAGTAAGACTTGAATTTAAGACTTTTTTTCACCATTAAGCTAAGACCTCCTTAACTTATTTCTAGAATGATTTGATTCAATTGTTAGACTATAAACTTTGTTCTTGTGTTATAAATATACATATAAATAAAATACTGATTTTGTAGGATCTCTAGGGTAGATTTGATAATTTACGTTATTTTGTTGTGTAAAATATTTTATTCGTATCATGTTTTACACAAAAATCACGTGCTACAATTTATTTCAACATAAAAATATAAAATATAATTTTTTAATTTTATTAAACTTTTTTATAATTTTTCTCAAATTTTAAGTCTTGATATTTTGATATCATTTATTCGTATCGTTTTTGCATTGTATTATCGTATCATATTTCAAATCGTTAGTTGGTTTCATTACCGTAATAATATCCCTGCCATTTGATTCAATAGCAATATAAATTATATACATATCGCTCAAGTGGGGTCGATTGCCAAAGAAATATGGTAGGAGTGCACAAACAATTTTTATTTTTTTTTGTTTTTTATCAGGAGCATATGAAACGTTGAGTTAACTGTTGCCTACCTTTGTAGAAAATTGAATCATTCATCCAAAGTCCAAATCAGGCCATTATAATACTAATACACTTGCTATTTCAAAGATTTAATATTAATTCTTTCCACAGACTATGAACTTTTTCCTTGTCTTTAATTTTTTTTTCTAATTAAAAAATTCTAATAACATGGGAACAAATTTTAACTTAGATTTGTGAATAAAATTGTTTTTTTATCAGAATATAATTGTTATTTTATTCCATAAATCTCATGTACCTATCCTCTCTTAAAGATTTGAATACGAAAATTTGTCATTGCACTCTTGGTTGATGATAATTGACTATTGTGCACAAAAGTTAAAGGAGAAACAAACAATTTGGTGGGAAAAAAAAATGTAGATGTCAGCATCAGTGGCCCACGAAGAAAAGAAAATTGTGATGGGTTTACTTTTGCTCCATCTACAGGGTTATGGTTGACATCAAATCAGAATTACTACTGAAAAAGGCTGGGAAACTACGGAGAAGGTAAAGGTGGAAAATTTCAAGACTGTAAGTGTGATTTGTGCAATATACATTGTATATAACAAGGTCTTCGTTTGAGAGTGATTGCTAAGGTTTCATTACTGCCTAACCCATTGATGGTTTTCCTAGCTCTTAATTTTCAAATTCTGTTTTCAGATTTTACTCATTCCTTGAAATATATAGCCAAGGATAAAGATGTAAACAAATAGAACTTTTGATGAATCATTTATGAAAATATTCGGTTTATATTTGTATATATTTATTTATTAAATTTAACAAATAATTTTAAATAATATTTTATATTCATTTATTAAACAAACTAAACACAAATAGTGACTGTTTGGTTCGATTTATGTTTGTGAATAAATTTATTTAAAATTTGTTCGTTTATTATTCATTTGTTATTCATTTATAATAATATTAATAAAATTATATTTTTATCTTTTATCCTAATCCTATTTTAATTAATGTTCATTAATATTCACTTCGAGTTTATTTGTTTAAATTTATTTGGCGATAATTTACTTGTTATTCATGAATATATTTGTTTATATATGTTCATGAATATATTTGTTTATATGAACAAGTTTGTTTAATTTAATTGAATCAAACATGAATATATACACTGAGTGTTCAATCAATCTCTTAGAGTAAAGAATTTAAAATTACAAAGGAAACAATTAAGTACAACATCAAGCATACATGCTAGTTGTTATCTCCAATTTGATAACAAGTTTGATTATTGGACGGACAGACAAAATGCTCAATGATCTCTCTCAGGTTTATACCAATATTCAATTTCTAATTTTACATTGATATCAACCATAAGCCAACGTGAAAGAACTATAACGAAGAGCTGCATGCAATAGTATATGCAGCAAGCTTTGCTT